TAGAAAAACATTTGCAGAATTCATCAATTTTATGATCCCAGGACACTCCAAAATGAGCCCCCTGACACCCCGTGACAGTGACAAAACTCCGGTAAAACCACCTGGTAAGTGTTGCAATAGGTCAGTTTAAGTACCCTAAACACTCCCGAATATTCACCCAAACACTCCCAGACTGCACTCAAAAATCTGCCAAAACACTCCCAGACTGCACCCAAAAACTCACCAAAACACTCCCATACTTCATCCAAACAACACTCCCAATCGTATCCAAATGCATCCTGAAACATGCCCAGAACTGGGTAATACCATGCAAAGTGCCTATTAGGGCTAACTCTATAGTGACAAAGTTAGGCCTAAGAGGTACCATGAAGGGGGGGCCTGAAGTGCAGAAATGAGCAAGGACCTGCACTTTAGCACTGCTGATTATGAGGACAAAGGAGAAGAGATGGAGCACGACGAGTTTGGCAAAATTAGCATGAAGATTCATTCTAAGTGGGAGAAGCGCAGGACAGCAGACCACTGAGCCCTTGAGGGCCCTTACCTTCTGATTCCCTGACTTGTGAGCAATGAAGAGGAGGAGGCGGGGAACATTTTGGAACTGTTTCAGAGGATTGGAATTGCGACCAAGGATCAGAAATGTCTTCTACTACATTAGAAGGTGCTATTCTACACCTATATAATGACCCCTGTACCTACCACAAAAACAACAAGGAGTTCATCCTTCAGAGTTCAGTTCTAAGCTCATCAGCTCGATAGGACGATGCGCCCTATTCCGCCTCACTCGTCTACATCCTTGTACCATGTCTAGATAGCTCTCGACACTGCATGGGGTAGCACTCCTCACAGTGGCCCATAGCTCGACTCGAGAAGTGCCCAGTAAAAGTCACATTACCGCATTTTCCTCTCATGCCACCTCATTTTATTTCTCATGCCATCTGTTACGAGCTCTAGCAACTCGGATCTCCATCCCCATCAGACTCCGTAGCCTCAGCAAGCACCCAGGTCTTGTCTGTAGCACTGGGGAGAGCTGCATAGACACCCTGGAGACCTAGGGAGCACCCAACCCTCATTCGTAGTGCTGGAGAGAGTTGCATAGATGTCCACACCACCAGGTTGGTCAGCCAAAGACCCACGTCACCGCTCGATTCTCGACCCTCGACCACTCATTCGGTGGAGGCACTCTTTGCCCTCCTATTGAGTTCCATGCAACCCAACCTCTTCTTGACTCATCTAGAGTCGGGGACCCACCCCTAGTCTGAATCGCTGCTCACCGCGTGATTTTAAGCACAACGCCAAATGACTCGCAGCCACCCCTCAAGTGTTATCAGCCGAAGTTTCTGTGACTGTGGCCCAAGGTGATCAGAGATGGACAGCTCAGATCTGCCTTCCTCGACAGGATAGGAGGTAGCTGGCAGCCAGGAAGCAGTTAAGCATATCATTTCTGGAGCCACCGCGAAGGGCTGGAAGAGAATTTTAAGTTCACAGTGCCGAGTCGATTGCGCTACACTCAGAAACTGAAGAAGAAGTTCGGTATCCCCTTGAAACCCAAGCGGACTTGCAACCATAGGTGATTCATCAGATGAAGAAGTCTTTTCATCGTTCAATCATCGGCTCAGTCAGTTACATGAGTTCCAAAGGGCCAGATTTGAGTGAACAGAAGAAAGCCGACCTCATCTAGCCAACTATCCTCCATCTCCATCACATGAAACATGGCTCTCGGTGTCCCGATCGCAATCACCCACTTCTATTACCTCACCTAGTGTTTCGCCCCTTAGCACCCTTACTCCGTCCCCGCATCCATCACTCGAATCATCCATCGCTTACCCGCTCTCAGAGCACTCTATATCTTCGACACCCGAAGTTCCTCTCCGGATGCTTCTAGATGAACTAGAAGCTGCACTCACAGTAGAATCCATTAGGGATCAAGACCAGGGTCAGACCCCCATATATCTGTCTATTAACATAGCCACCTCCATCATGGGCATCATAATAACCAATCAAATGCCGTTTCGAGGTGATCGATCGGCACCAGTATTCGATCCCGATCAGCCGAGGACACTATTTCGGTTCTTCGACGACCTCAAAATACTATTCAATCATTGTCAAATCACGAGCGAAGCCGACAAGAAGCTGCGGGTAAAACAGTACCTTAATATCGATGTGGCTGATCTTGTAGAATCGCTTCCAGAATACATTGATCCCTTAAAAATATATCGAGACTTGAAGCCAGCAATTCAGGAGCTATATCTGGACATGGACACAGAGTGGAAATGGGAGGTCTGGGATATGGATCTGTTAATAGGGGAACGTGCCCGCCTCAGAATCCAGACAATTGCAGAGCTAGAGAACTATCACCGAGAGTTCCTAGCAATTACGTCGTTCCTGATTGACAAAAAACTGCATCTCCGAGTCAGAACACAACCACACCTTCGTACGAGGTTTTCAGCTGAAGCTATGGAATACGATCTTGCAGAGATTACAACTAAAACAGCCCAATCATTATCCCAATGATCCATACCCTGTCAACGACATTTACGAAGCAGCCAAGTTCATTCTACATTGAACTAGCCTGGGGCCATCAACGATTAAGGCAGTGTTGACTACTCCCGCTACTGGAGCAATGGGCATCAAAAGCGAGGACATCTCATTGCTAATCAAAAGCCTAGTCAAATCCATATAAACGCTCATCACTGCAGCAACCGGAGGGATAGCCAAGTCGAACGGCAGCGCACAGGCTATGACAGTAGGAAAGCCAACTGTTGCAAGCAGAAATGCAAGTGGATATTGTCACTACTGCGGAGAAGCCGGAGAAATGATAGGAACCTGTAAGCACGTCGAGGAAGACATTAAAAGTGGTAAATGCGTATGAAACACAGCCAGGAAGGTTGTCTTGCCGAATGGAACCTTCATCCCTCATAATATTCCAGGCATCACTATTCGCGATCAAATCTATGAGTGGCACAGGCGGAACCAGACACCAGCTACAGCATCAGTCTCAGTGGCAAACCTATTCGAGGTTTCAGTGGACAAAGCTAGTTCATTTTCTCTTGGAGCAGACAATAGAATCGAAGCACTAGAGCGTGAACTGTACAACCTCAAAAGGTCAAGGCCAGTATTCGACAGTGTGTATATGCCACCAAGGTGACCAGCAGGAATGGCAATAAAGCCACCACAGATAGAGAAGGCACCCGAACTGCAGAAACCTTCAATGGAGATAGAGAAGACTAATGAAGGAACTTCTAGTGCACCTGCGCCAGTCACGGAAAGTGCACCAGAACATCCATTCTGAGCAGCAAGAGACACACTCTACAGTCCACTGAACATGTGTAATTTTGGTCAAGCACCAAAGCCAGGAGCACGTGATGTGGCCTATCGTGATGCACCACCAGTCTACCAACCGGAGCTAGCAAACACAGTTTTTGAACAGTCAATGAAGGCGTTATCAGTAACCTTGTCGATGGAAGAACTGCTTTCGATATTGCCAGATGTATGAAACAAGTACTGAAAAGCATGCACACCAAAGCGTGTCATACCCCCGAGTGCTGCAGGAATGACATCGATCCAAGAATTAACCAGAGATGGAGCA